AAAAGGCTACAGTTATATTCCAGAATAAAACAGGGACAGGGTATTAGTGCATGAGTAGGTCCTACAGATGTCCATACTGACATGCTTCTTAGCATGGTTTTTGTCCTGAATCAATTAGTTGTCCCCCAGGCATGGTTTGGGCACAGTTCAGGAGGTGAACATGCACCACGACCATAAGCAGTTCAGATATGGCCGAAGTGATTTAACCTTGGGGACAGGAGGTGTTCTGTACCGCTTGGCCTCAGAGCCAGAGAAGAATCGCTTGTCTGAATTATTTAGTAATACACAGCAAGCCAAATTGACTCAGGGACAAACAAGCCAATAACTGGGTCTGAAGGGTCAGCCTAAGGAACAGCTTAATGGGGAGGGAATTTCTGCATCAATTGCAAAGATGCTGCTCACCTGCAAACTTTATTTTGTTTTCTGTTTTAAAAGTTCTGCTGTTTTAAAGGATTTGTTTGGAAGCAAATCCTTCCAATTTTCTTTGTTGTTTCTGATGGCATGTCTGTGATTGTAGGAACTCGGTAGCACTGTGCAGGTATGCTGCAGCAGATTACCATGCTGCCAGTAGTTTTCATGCAGCGTTACTGTACCGCGGTCAGAAATGGTCGATTACACAGGAGAAGGAAGCGCAGAGCAGTTGTTGAGTATTTAGGTAATGCTAGATGGAATATGAGTCTGATTGCATTTGACTTAAAAGCAACCTCCTTCCCTGCCTAAAATCAAGAATCACACCCCTGAAATATTACAGCTGCCTCACGTGGTAATTTTTTTAGTGATTGTTATAGGCTCAAGAATTCTCAGATACAGCTAGTACTTTGTCCATTCAGAGAGAGGTGACACTTCATCTTTCACTAAGACACTTGAGGCTCATTCTCTTACCAAATCCATTTTCATTCCTTCTATATGAACCTGTAACATAGGTTATGCAATTAGGAGGAAAGTGTTTGCAGAAACGATAAGGAAAACCTGATAAATGAAATCTGCTATACACTGTCAGTCACACTGATGCTGTTCCAATAAACACAAACATGTTTTTGTGTAGCCAGCTTAAAGAGACAGAGTAAAATAATTTATGGCCAAAATTGTCTTTCCTTCCTTGCCGCATTTATATGTATATAATACTATACACACCAAAAATAAGTTAAGGGAGCATTACTGACATAAAGTAGAGTGCTAAAAAGGCAATGCTATGGTTAGTGTCATAGTTATAACATTATAGTTAACAGGCTTTTTGTTCAGTAACTGGGCTCCTCTCTGTGAATGTGCTATATACAGTCTTTATACAATTAGGAGCATTTTTTAGGGTGAATGTTTGGTTTTAGGAAAGGGTTTTGCTTTCAAGACAAATGCAGTCAGATTTATATCGCATCTGTTATTATCTAAGTGGAGCCTTGTCTTCCAGAGGAGATTTGTCTTCTAGAGTGCACAGATTGGGCAGCCTTCAATTTAGGAGTGGATGCAAAATACTTTTCCAAGTGTTGCCCTATAATTTTTTCCCTTTTTTTTTTTCTGTACACTATTCAGACCTTGCTTGGAAGACAAAATCAGTCATTTCCTTGTGGGAATTGTTATTCTGCTCTTTCACTGTAGTCTGTACACTATTCAGACCTTTTAGGAGTGGATGCAAAATACTTTTCCAAGTGTTGCCCTATAATTTTTTCCCTTTTTTTTTTTCTGTACACTATTCAGACCTTGCTTGGAAGACAAAATCAGTCATTTCCTTGTGGGAATTGTTATTCTGCTCTTTCACTGTAGTTTCTGAGTGCCTCAGAAATGTTAATGTATCATTAGCAGTTCTGAGGAGGTGATGTGATATCTCCACTTTATAAATCAGGAGTGAAGGCTGGTGGTTGAAGCACAGGACTGAGAGTGTTTGCTAGTTTGGGGGCCCCATTCAATGACCTGATTTCTTGGACTAATGCATTTTGTATGATCAAGGCACACTCCCTGTTGTTGATTTCCGTGGCACTAGTGAGTGCTCAGGAGCTCTGCAGTCGGCCTCTGGCCTTGAAACTGAAGACCAAAGAAGTAAGGAATACTTATTTGGTGACCAGCTGAGTCAAAATTTAGTGTAAAGGGCTTCCCTAGCAGCACATAAGAACTGTGGAGCAGAGGCTAGCATACAGTACTTTCTCCAAGGATGATGCTCATTTCCAGTTGTCCGGAGTTTCTTTCTTCTGATTCTCCTATGCCTTTGAATATCTGTAACAAATGAGGCAGTGCTCCATTGAGTGATGGTCTCCCTAGCTGCGCTTCTGATCCTCAGAACAGATACCTACTGACAAGTTAGAAAACAGATCATTTATTTAAAGAGGATACTCAGAGAAAACAGTCCAAACCACTTCAGCTTTGACAGCCTGTCCCAAATTTTCCTTGTTATTGCATGAAATAGGATATTCTATGTATACATTAAAAATGTGCCCATATTTTATCTTACAGTAGTCATCTGATGACCTGAGACTGACCTGAGTCAGTCTCTTCCTTCAGCTTAATATCCTGTTACGTACTCTTCTACTTGAAAACAGCTCATCTTTGCTCAAAACTGGTCTGTAGTGTCAGCTCAGTGACATTAGTTTACTACACTGGGTGGTGTTGCTGAGAATGTAAAACTATCCCATTAGCCTGTTTGCAATATAAAACAGGCTTCTGCATTTTACAAGCTTATGCAGTGTAGCAAGATTCTGGCAAGTGTAAAGGAAAAAGGTGTTAAGGAGAGCTGGCAGCTCCTTAAAGAGAAGATATTAAGCGCAAACTCTTCCAATAAGGAAGAGAGTTAAGGAGGTGCAGTAGAAGACCAGTGTAGCTAAATTGTCAGCTCTTCATGGCCCCTGAAGAGAAGTAGTTTTTTTTACAGAGTCGGAAATAGGTCAGATTTCCAAGAACGAGGATAAAAAAATAGCATGTAGGGACAATAAAATCAGAAGTCTCGAAGCACAAAATGAGATAAAAGTATCCGGATGTGTAACAGGTGGTAAGAACTCATTTTTCATGTACATTAGTAATAAAAGAAGGCCTGAAAGAAAATGTTAGAGAGTGAAAGGGATCAACAGATGGCATTGGGAAGGCCAAAGTGTCTTTGGTTTGTTTGGGTCTTTCCCAGTAAAGTAGATACTGCTGCTACTGAAAACATGAGGGACTGTACTGCCACTGCTACCTTGGGCAGGTAGGCAGGGGCCTGGGTGCCTGAAGATCTCACATGCATAAATGATTGTCTCTGTACAGCCTGATATCTACAGAGGTGTATACCTTCCACCTCCACCTACCAATTTTAGGATGGTTTGTCTGGAGGGCATTGCTGTATGATGCCTGAAATACTGATTGAAGATGACTTGGAAAGTGTTTAGGAAAGTCCACTGTCAGAAGGGAAGCATGAGCTGGGAGGATCCCAGAGGTGGCTTCTTTGCAAGTACTATTCTGTACTTTTGTTAATGGTTTAGATGATGGCACTGAGTGCGATAACAATTTATATAGAAGGCACTAAGCTGGTAAGGATGAAAGATGCTATGAAAGAAAGGGCTACAATTCAAAGTGGTCTTGATCAGTTGGAGAAGTAATGGTCGCAGTTCAATAAGGACATGTTCTATATACCACTCTTAGGAGTAACCAACTTTAATGATAAAGGCCGAGGAATAACTTCCTAGGGAGCAATTATTCAGAAAAAAGTCTGAGAGTTACAGGGACCCACAAGCCAGTACATGAGTCGACATTGTCATGCTGTGGTATGTAGTATTCTGGGGTGAATAGAGAGGAATATAGCCTGCAGAACGTATGAAAAAAAATCCTTCCTTGTCTGGAGTACCGTGTCAAGTCACAGGGACTATACCTTGAGAAAGATGTAAATCAACAAGACTAGGCAGAGGGACAGCAGCAAGACTGAACAAACAGTCCCAGATAACGTGACTGATAAGTACATATTGAGCGAATTGGTGTTATTTGGGGTAGATGGCAGCAATATGATTAGTGGTTATTATAGCCTTCTGTATATATGGGCTGCTGCAAAGAGCAAGAGAATAACATGTTTTCTATGCCTGTGATAGCACAAAGACTAAAGACCATAAGTTCCAGCAAGAGAGATGGTCCTACCATGGTAAGAGTAGTCCAGCACTGGAAGAGTTTGCGTAGGGAGGTTATTGAATCTCCATTGTTGTAGGCCTTCAAGAACAATTAGGAAACATCCTCTGGCAATAATATAAGTTGTAGTAGATTCTGCTATGGGGCTGGACATCTCTTGACGCCTCTTCTAGGTGTAATTGCGTTGTTTTCTGACACGCTTCCTTTTTCATCCTTTTACTCCTTGGTGGATATCGCTATTTTCTGGATAGGGATTTCTTAGTTGGTGGGGGGGGTTAAAATTTAGCAAATCTATAGCAGTCATCTTGGTACAGAACTTCATGGGGCAGTGCTTTAAACTGCTATGTTTCACCAATTGCTGAAGCTGTAAGAATCCCAGGCCACAACTTCTTATTGAGAGTGTTCCTTATAGACAGAGTAAGGACTGGGACTTGCTTTCTAATCAACATATTTTCTGAAGACTTTTAAAATGCATGTAACAGTCTGACATACCAGCTGTCACCAGAAATCTTGTCCCCCACTGACACCCGCGTGCGGTGCGTTGGCACTCATGTCACACAAAGAGGGAGTGTTGACAGGTCCTCTTGCTAGTCACCTTAGAAAGGGAGGAAAGAAGCCAGGGTTCAGCAAAGGAGAACTGGCAATCATAGGAGAACACCAGGAACGGCAGAACCAGAACAGTCTGAGCAAGGAGTTACTGGACTGGCCCGGGACATTTACAAGCCCAAGAGGAAATGCGTGCAGCAAAACAGAAATTTTCTCCAGCCTAATCCATGTTTAGCTTGGTGTTTGGGACTGATCTGAACCTCTTTCATCATGGGACAGCAGTTCAACGCCATTCATGGCCAATCTTTCCAAGTTCCAGAGTCTCGAGTAGCTCTATTTGCATTTGTGTTAGAACTGAATCATGTTTTCTTTTGACTTAGAAGCCGAGCTTGATTTCCAAGCCAATGCTTGACAGCATCCTTTGTCTTCGTGATGACAGATGGAAGTATGTCCGGAGCCTCCTGACCCCAGCCTTCAGCGATACCAAACTGAAAGAGGTAAGTTGTAGACAGTGCTGCTTTCATAATTTAGAAGACATAATTGTTTTCTTTTGTGCAGGCATCTACTTTATATAGGTCCGTATTAAGGATAGGTAAAACCTATTACTTTGTGCCAGCTTATTTAGACCTGAAGAGCACATGCAGTAGAGCATATGTACGGTGTGGTCCAGGTCATAGACTGGTGAAAATCAGAATAGCTCATCTGAGGATATGATCCTCTGTCTTTCTCTATATAAGCCAGTTTGTCCATAAAAGTGTAGCAAACTCAAAAAGGACCCTTACACCTTCCTCTCCCTGCCCTGTTAGGAGTAAGCTAAAGTACAGGAAAGGTTATTGCTCCCAGTTGGAACATAGCTTTTTGTGATTTGCAGAGTCAGCAGCTCTCACGTTAACACGGGAACTGCTGTCAGTCTATTTTCATTTCCCCATCTCCTTCCCCCCCCCTCCTCCTTTTATTCTTTAATCCTTTCATATAATAAAATAAGTCACTGGAACAGAATGTCATTGCCAGATAAATACCTCTGACTGAAAATAAATGTCTCCGTGCTGACCTGCTGCTAATTTCCTATAAATGTCTCAGCATTTACTTAGTCATGGGAACCCATTACCCGGTAACAAAGTCCTATTCCAGTGACACGATATCTCTTAATTAAACGCAGATAAATGATTGACTGGTTAAAGTCTTCTTTCAAGGGGGGGGGGAAAAACCCCACACAACAAAAAACCACCTCTTCCTTTATGTATTTTATTCTGAAGGGGAACCATGCCTCATTCTGGTGCCCAGTCCTGGGTTGTAAAATTTTCCACTGGGCAGACGCTTGTGTTGTTTTGACATGCCGCTGTCGAAATCCACAGTAACATCTAAATGTGTCTGGCTCTCCCAGCTCTATAGACAGCGGTCGCTTAGCAACGCTGGCTGTCACCTCCTTATTATGGTAAATTCTAATTGGCCGCCAGCCTGGCGGAGATGCTGATTAATCATGACTGACAATGCCATTGGTTATGCACCCCGACATTTGCTCTGTCACCGGCTCCATCGCGAAATTTTAGCGAGGCGAGGATGTTTAAATATGCAAGCGATTAGTTGCTCATGGCGTTGTGGGGAGAGGAGAGTTTTGCATTTTCCTAGCGGAAATTAATCTGCCTTACTGCAGGTCATCGGCTCTTTGCTGGCGGACTAACAAAAGATAAAGCCGTGCTCCCCTCAATTTGCGGAGAGCAACCTCTGCCGGCACCAGCTGGGCAGACTTGGAGGAGAGCGGTGAGGGCAAGCAGGCGGAGGCCCTGGGCGTCGTGCTTTGGGACCGGGCAGTCACGGGTTTGCAGGGTTTGACTGATTAAACTGGGGTGGGAGGAGAAGTCACGGTGCTCACTTTGCACTGCTTGGTGGTGGAGCTGCAACGCAGGAGGAGGGTAGTGGTAGGAGGTAAAATGGAGGGCTGGCTAGTGCCTGGTAGCTGTCTCACATGCAAAAATTGAGATCTTTATTTTTAGCCTGATAATCAACTTTCCCTGTGCTGCCTCTTCCAAACTCTGCAAGGGGTATCATAGAATCATAGAACCATTAAGGTTGGAAAAGTCTTCTAAGATCATCGAGTCCAACCGTCAACCCAACACCACCATGCCCACTAAACCATGTCCCTAAGTGCCGCATCTACACGTCTTTTAAACACTTCCAGGGATGGGGACTCAACCAC